AAGAAATTTGCGCGTTGTCCATAAAATCGTGTATTTCCTTTTCCACAATAAGAATTAGCTGTTGCGTTTGTCGTTGTTTGTTAATTCGATTTCAATGCGTTTTATGTTGTCTGGGCTGTTGACAGTAGCTAATTCACGTACGTTGACATCGACTTAACTGATATGACAAGAATAGCAAACGCAACAACTGAAAATCATATAACATGTCAGTTAAGTGAAAACGGCCCAAACCATGAATCTAATCACAAAAAGAGAAAAAGAGAAAAAGAGAGAGAGAGAGAAAATATGGTACAAAGTCACGATGTAATGCAAAGATATTACCGAAAAAGGTTCAAATGCACACACTCAGTTCAAATACTCAATTCATAACTTTTAAAAAAAGACACACCGGATGTAACATATTTGTATCTGCGACACGCACGTATTAATTTCCTCGGATTTTTTTGGCCATACATCCAAACTCGAACAAATTTCTGTCTCGTTCATTCACTTATACCACGCAATTTTTTTCTTCTTCTTCTCAGCATTATCGCAAGCATTATCTTTTGCTCACGAAGAGAATTTGTATGTAACCACATGATTTGAAAGATTCGTGCAAATGATCCAAGATGGCAACAATTGCATACAAAAATAAAAGTGAAATGAAATTCGCCGTTGGCGGATCAATTTGATTTATTACATTTGCTGAGCAAATTTACATACTAACCAAGTTCAATATACCGAAACAATTTTATTCAGTTAAGGATCGTCAGTGACCTTCATTGAACCAGAGTTTGTGATATTAACTGTGAAATCTCTGACATTTTCACGACATCCGAATCGATTTGGACTTTAGGACGCTTTTTCACCGCCAAGTTTCAATTGAACCAACAAAATTTAAAGATAAAACAAACGAAAGGTAGATAACCAAAGAAATTTGTATTCTTAGATATGTTCTCATTGAGATTACTACTTAAAAAAAATAATACACACTTAGTTCAAATAATTTTCATAATAAATTAATTAAATATCTTTTTCAAACACCAATGGTGAATAATAAGAAAGGAAAAAATCATTTTGAAAAGTCGCTTGATGTAAAACATATAGTTTTTTTTTTCGGATCAATGTTGAAATGTATTTATCGGTTTGAATTCAATGGGCAAAAATGTTTCACCTGTTGAAAGCTGCTGAATTTTGATATTGAAAATTGAATTTAATTGAAATGGAAGAATTGCAACGAAAGCCAAGTATAGAAACAATCATATTATGCTTGTTGTTTTTCGTTCTTCTTTTTTTTCGAATTTAGTTTTTGAGTCAGAATGAATAAGAGTTGGGTATTGCCATTCAATTGGCATGTCGTCTCTTGAATTCTGCGTAGCAAAATCAGTATTTGAAAATGTTCTTTGTCAAGGGATTAAATAAACTCTTGGCAAGCGTCTTTTGATAAGTATTTCTACACAACCACCAGCATTTATGTGTGTTGGCGATGAAACTGGGAAATTGAGTGAATGCCGTAGTTGTCGTTGCTGTCACCATCGCATCGTCTTAAAATCTCTCACATTGATAATAATGTGTTAATAATTTGGCTTATTTGAAGTTGATAGAAAAAGAGCGAAAAAAGGTGAATTGAACCCGATTTTCTCTGTGTGGGGATAAGTGTTAAAAGGCATTAGTAGCTCGTGTTAATGGCAAATAAAAGCTAATAATCAGGTTTGTTATATTTTTCGGAATTTTGGCTTTACAATAAACGCTTTCTAATCTTCAAATGGGATTCAACAAACTAAAGTTAAATTCACTTGCTGCATTCATTTCACTTAATCCCGGTCGATGTGATTTGTTTTGTTGTTCGCGAAGTGGTTGTTAGATTGCGGGAGCTTAATGCCACTACCATTTATTCTTATTTTCTTGCATATATATTTCACAACAGTTTTCCGTTTGCCGTACATTGAATAAAATTGCAACGAATGAATATTCCGCGCAAGCATCCCGTGGTTGGTAGGGGAGAAAAAGTTTAGGGAAAACTCAAAGAAATCAAATAAAAGTGAAATTCAATTTTATGAGCAAATTTTCATTTTTAACTTGAGACTATCCAAATGCATTCTTTACGGTATATTCGTTTTCCTCTCGTTTTTTCTTCTTTCTTTCTTCTGCTACGTCTTTGAAAATGTACACCAGTTGCTTGCTTGTCATGAAATTGGTCAAAAAGCGTGCAATCGAATAGAAACACTCACACCGGATCAAATCTCTTTCTCTCCTCTTCCTTTCGAGCAGATACATTTAAACGCAAAAATACTTTGAACGAAGCTTGAATGCGAGAAAATGAGTGGCAGTCACAATGAAATATGAGAAATGAAGCGTGTGTCAACAAACAAATTAAAAGAAACGAATGAGAAATAATGCTATAAACGAGTTTGTCACGTTTCTTTAATTTATCGTCCCATTTTTAAATGCGCTTTCAATTCCCAATGCGATTCACATCTTATAAAAATGAATGCATGGGAAAAAAAAGGAAATAAGAATAAGTAAATAATATCTATTTTGATTCGTTGGGATTTTGTACAGCTGAACAGTCGAAGACGCCGTCGTCGTCATGACATTAGATCAGATAATATTGGGAATAGTGAAATCGAGTGAAATGATAATAATGGATTTCAAAATCTTGTAGACTTTTACACTTCTAGAGTATACAAATTGGCGAACTTGGTGTAATTTACACTCTCAAAATATTATCAATTGCGACCAAGATTTTTTTTATTTCATTGTATATGTATCAGTTATCATTTTAAATTATTGTATTCTATTTTCAGAAAGGATGTACTATTTTAAAGTGATTACAAATTGTAATTGATCTGTTTTATTTATCAATGTATTTAAGTGAAAAAAATACAAAATAGCAAAAGTTGAATATACCATACGTTATATTGAGCTGATTATTAATTTGAAGATAGATTGCCAGCTGTTTGGTACATTTCAAAATAGTACTTTACCTCTTTCATTAATAATTTGATTGATGAACAACTCGAATTCGCGTCTTTTTCTTTGCATTTCGCATATGGTAACTCTTCAACTTTTTTACCCTAAAATCATGTAAAACCCAAGCATAGGAATGTTTTTTGAGGTGCTGTATGTAGTAGCTTATGCTTTCGTGATAAATGTTACGCTCTTGAGATATTTTATAGACGCTTTTGTTTCGGTATTTTTTGCGATTTTTTCTACTTTTTCAATAAACTGATCTTTCGACTTTAACCTAAAAATGTTCATAAATATCTTTTTTGTGTATTCTTATAGACCACAATCTCCATAACTTGGTCACTTTTTACTACAAACCTGCGAACGCTTATGTTCAAATAACCGAGTAATGCGCTATATGTTTTTTATGAAAACGTCACACGAATCTCCCCCAAAAACGACATCTTTGGTCTTGCAGCAGAAGCTGTTTCTATGCTGAAAATTTCACTTCAGTTTAAAAAAAATTAAAATATTATTCATGTAGAATTGAACAAATATTTCAAAACGTTGAAATGAGATTTACAGAAATATGCATTTGAAAATTGTTTTAAAAAATAAACACGGCACAATCAATTTCAAAAACAATGAATAATATTGTTGACATATTTTCACGATGACAGCTATTTCTGCGGTACAAAATTGACCCGCTTGAATGATTTGTCAATATTGAACATACTCTACACACATGGGGAAACAGAGATGGCGTTGTCGTAGCATGTAGCAAAATATATGTTTAACGCAATATTCGGCTTTGTTCAAATCAATATTTTTACTTTTTGAAATTCGTTAGCCCAAAACGTTACCTTTCAAATGTCATATAAAATTACCCACTACAATTTATAACACCAGAAATACTAGGTGTGTGCGGAAAAGTAAAATCTGACAGGAAAACAATTTAAGAAAATTAGGTTCTACAAAATAGAAACTAGTGGGAAAAAACAAGTACATCATTAGAAATCGTTACCGTTTTATTCAATCGTTTATTTTAGTGTCCTAATGTGTAAGCGCGCAAAAGTCACCTACGGGTAAAGTGTAACATTTCAATGAAAATTCAATAAAACATGAAGCCATGCAGTTGTCCAAAATGACTATAATTGACAGTCTTCGAAGGAAAAAAAATGAGGAGATAATTACGAATTTTTTTTGCTCTTCACTAAATTTAAATGAGTTGAATGAATGTGTGGAATGATAGCAACTGATGTCTGTATGTGCGTGCTATGAAATTCCGCAGCCTGAATGGTGACGAGTCCAACGAATGTGTGACAATATTGACTCGTTTGATGTGCAACACAGCGAAAACTGTATGACCACGTCTTGTTTCTGATCGCAGACAACCACTCAAATTTCAAACACATTCATGCATAGCAAATGCAATTGAATCTTTTCGCCATCACCGAATCGAGTGTTTTTATTATCGTAAATGTCCATTCGATGTGATATAATCTCTATCTGATGCTGTGTAGAGCTGTGGATATATATTGAACACTTATGAAACATACATGCATCTCGGTGTGTTGGTGCTGGAGCGGAAAATGTGTGGGCGAATGTGTGAAATGCGATTCATTCATTCGTTCGAACCTTCATTTCTCTATTTGATGACTTTCCAATCAAGGTTTTTCCACGGATTTTCACTCACTTTGAATTCAAGTGGATTTTCACTAATGAAAGTGATACACATATCGCTTTTCTCGCCCATAGCTCACACATTCACACTTCCATAAGCCGGGCCAATAGACAAAAAATCACGCAACGCTGCAAAGCATTTGATCCAAGCGAGTAAATCGTACGAGAGAGTGCAGTGTGTTCCTGTTCATCCCTTTGCAATTTGAAATTATACGCTTCGAAAACAAATGACACACGACAACGGCAAAGAGACAACATCACGTATCACCATGTATCACCGCAGTGACTGGATACCCCAGTCACAATCAAAAGATTAAAACGATTCATCTATTTTTTAAAGAAGATTTATTTAATTTTTTGAGTATTCAACTTCTCTCTTATTCGAAAACCATCGAGAACGCTTTATGCAGCTTAACAAAAGATTTTTCTTTGATTTTAGTTTTTCAAGATAAACAAAAAATAGTTCCCCTTTGCTTTCAATTGTTATTAGTTAATCTAGTTGCTTTTTTTACATTTGATTGTGGTAATATTTTGTTTTATACATTTCATTCAACCTTTCATTCCATGAAGATTTTAAAAAGATATCCAATAAATAATTTCAAATGTAAGGCAGCTTAATTCTTATTCATATATTTTTTGATTCAATCAAATATGTTGAATTTTAATTTTGATAGAGCCAAATTTTTCCGTCATCACTGCAGAAAACCAGATCACGTCCATTCCGTGAAAACGACAAATCTCTTACATTTTTGGTGCATCTTGAATTGGTGATTGTTTCAAATGCAATATCACCAGTTTCGAGATCAAATAGTCTTACAACTCCTTTCATATTACCTATCGCCAAAATGCCGCGAATTGTATTGGTTGCGAAACGAACAAAATAATAGTCGCAGTTTTCAACATTGAATTCAATCAATTTCGTACAGGCATCTGGTGGTGCGGCAAGTGTTCCAAGATATTTTGAGTCACATGGCAAGATATCTGTCATCCAACCGCACAAGTCGTTCTCTGTCGACTGAAATTGAAAAGAAAAGTATGCGAATTGAATTTCTCACTAATTCCTCTTCATCATGATGTTTCATTATTGAAAAACAAAATACTCACTTTTGACAGAATAAAATCGCCAAACCATTTAACACAATCGACGTAGTTTTTGTGTATGCGACGCGTTGTAAATGTTGGAAATGGATGAAAAAACGTTTTGAAGTCACGTGTACTTGTATTTGCGTCGTATTTTGTACTCATTTCGATGGCTGCACTAATTTCTGGTGTTGTCAAATCCCAAATAGCAACCATATGATCGAGCCCGCCAGACACGAGTTTGGTGGACTCGAAATTAAAATCAATCGATACGACCTCATCACGATGTGAATCGACGCCATGAAATGTTGCGATACAAACTTTTGTTTCAATGTTCCACAAGCGAATCGAACGATCTTTCGAAGCCGATGCCAAAAGGTATGGTTGACGTGGTGCAATTTTCACTTGATTAATCGCTTCACCATGTCCGATTAAATTATTGGGCTCAACGTCCCAATCATTTTTGGCTAGATCGATGTTAACGATTCGGATAACTCCTCGACTGCCACCTGTTATCAATATCGGTGCCCGTGATACGTTCACCGACCAACAGCACGTCCAAAAATCTTCGTCCGGCTAAAAATGCCACACACAAACATACGCAGATTTAAAAAAATGAATTAAAATGTTTTCAATCCAGTAGGAAAAAATATTTTGGTGACAAATGACAAAACATACATCGGCATCCTCAAAGCACATCAACAATTCCATTTTACCATTTGCTGTTGTTTTGTACACATAAAATCGTGGACCACTGACCGCCGCAAAAATGTTTTCTTCGCCATCTTTCAAAAAATGATTGAAATCCACTGCCCATATCTCTTTCCTATTTCTGGCGCTGTCTTGCACGAATGAACTGCAGAAAACGATAAAAACAGAAACGACTCAAGTCAAAATACAAGAGTGAAACACTATATCAACAGCGATTACATACCAAAAATGATAGTTCAATTTATCATGACCTGATGTGCCAGAATCGGTTGAATTGATCGTAATAGCTGACAGAGCTGGTGAACATCGCATTGAATCATTATCATGGCCGCTATCACTCTAAAATTGTTGTCGTCAATCTCATTATTTTATACACTTTAATTTGCAAATATAACTTACCGATAATGTAATACTATCAAATGAACTCGATCTGCTTGACATGATTTGACCAGGTAAATCTTCTCGATTAAATACGACCAATATTCGTCATTAAATTAAAAATCAAACATGTGTTACTGACTGATGAGCGGTAAAATTCATTCGTTGTTGAAATGTTGTTGAAGTTTAGTCAAAATATATTTGTTTTGCGTTTTAAATATCGATGTGTAACAGTAGTATGCCGGCAACACACACATATACTAGCGTCAGTTCTTGAAAAACACACAAACACCAGCCAATGCTATATTTACACAAATATATGTGAATGCTATTGTCACCAATCTGACAGCGCCGAATGTTGGTTTGTTTAACGAATCAAGTCGTCGAATACAAAGCAATGAAAACAAAAAATGCTTGTGCAACCACCAAAACGGTGCGTTTGTATAAATAAACAAAAACACAAAAAAGGACAAGCAATGTGTTGTGACAAATCTCGTGAAATTATTAATTTTATTCTTTCTAAGAATTAACTTAGTTAAAAAGTGTTTGGTATTGTCTTGCTTACATTCATACTGTGACTGTCAACTGTTGCACATATATATTTTCATAATGACAGGCTAAGGAAACATGCGATTTTAATTTTTTTTTAACAGTTTTAGACTTTGAATCGTATGACTTTTCTACATGTTTTCATTGAAATGTTTTTTCGTGCGAATTTACGTTATGGCACAATCGCATGCTTATATGCGCGTACAAAAACTTTTTGGTGTGTTGCATACCGCAACGGTGACTTACGTTAAAGCTTCACACTCAATTTATAATTCAAAGCTTGCACTACCGAACGAAAGATGGCGATACTTGGCTCATTCAAATATATTCAACGCAATTTCAAATACAATCCACCGAACATCGATCGGTCTGTTCTTCAATCATTTTAGTTTGGTTTTTAAAGACATCATCTGTTGAGGTATACTGTAAATACGTCGATAGTTTCAATAATTTTGAAGAAAAACTGTGTGAACGGGATCAAGTTTTCTATTTAAAAAAAGATTCCAAAGAAAGACAGAGAAAAAACAACGGAATATTTTCTGTGTTTGTATATTTTAATGAGATTATAATATTTTATAGTCAATTTTAGCAGTTTTTTATACAAATATCTATGAAGTACCTAATTTAACATAAAATCCGACAATTTTTTTTATTTTTTGTTGTCATTTTAAGTTTTGATTTATTATAATATGAATGTTTTTTTTGCAGATGTTTTTTTCTTTCAATTAAACTATATATTCTTAAATGCGTGTGTGAGTGTACGCCTCCTCTTGGAATCTCTTTACGAAACATAAATGGAATATTTTTCCCATACAATTGAATGAAATTCAATATCAAACGATGGGTCCATCAAGCAAAACAACGAATAATTTTGATATAGTGATTTTGGACAGACATTTTCCTTATTTGACAACATTTAAAAAAATAATAATAATATCTCACGTCTAGAAAGACGTGATCTAAAGAATAAATTCAGTCCAAAGTTTGCTGATAAATAAACTCGAAGCAATTTGTCGTATTAGTTTTTTGTTTATTTTTAAAGTACATAATTCCTGTTCGCTCCTGTGTAACAAATTCGATCAAAAATTCTTGTTGGTTTGTTGATGAGTTTTAAATTCCAATCGAAATCTCATGCTAATTTTATTCTGTATTTTCATTTGATCGACACATTAAATTCGTCAAACGGTTCGAGTGGATCATTTGCGCTAAACAAAACTGACTTCTATTTGACATTTAATTGTGTGTGTGTGTGTGTGTGTGTGTGTGTGTGTGTGTGTGTGTGTGT